ATTTCAGCCCCAAGGCAGGGAGCAGGCAGGGGCGGTGGAAGAAGGGAGCGCTGGGCACCAGTCAGATACCAGGCAAAGAGCTACGCTGGGCGCTCTTGCTGGGGGCTCTTTCCCGCTTGCAGGGAAGAAATCAAGGGGTCTTTCCAGACAAGGGAAGGGATCGGGTTTTTTGGAGGCTGAGTTCCAAAATTCCTGCTGCATCCGAAATCAAGATTTTTCGTGGTGATGGGGAGAGGGAGAGGCTTCGGTTTTCCTGGGTCTTGGACTGGCCTTTGAACTGAAAAGAATTCCAGGGGGAAAACCAGTTCAGACAGAGGCAATCCCGAGTCAAAATCTTGGAAGAGGAGAGTGAGGGTAATCGTTATTAGTCTTTCCTTCCTTCCTTCCTTCCTTCCTTCCTTCCTTCCTTCCTTCCTTCCTTCCTTCCTTCCTTCCTTCCTTCCTTCCCTCCTCCCTCCCTCCTTCCTTCCTTCCTTCCTCCTCCCTCCTTCCTTCCTTCCTTCCTTCCCTCCTCCCTTCCTTCCTCCTCCTCCTTCCTTCCTTCCTTCCTTCCTTCCTCCTCCCTCCTTCCTCCTTCTCCTCCCTCCTTCCTTCCTTCCTTCCTTCCTTCCTTCCTTCCTTCCTTCCTTCCTTCCTTCCTTCCTTCCTTCCTTCCTTCCTTCCTTCCTCCTCCTCCTCCTCCTCCTCTTCTTCTTCTCCTTCCTTCCTTCCTTCCTTCCTTCCTCCTCCCTCCCTCCCTCCCTCCCTTCCTTCCTGGCTTTTCTTGCCTCTTCTCAGGATCGCTTCCCCCGCCTTCCCTTTAAAGCCACTTTCGTCAATTTCAGTTTTTTGGGACTTCGGCGGAGTTGAGTTTAATTGCCCTCCCCCCCCATTCCCACCCGTGGGTCGCCCGAAGGTCAAACTTCTTCGGAGGCAGCCAGACGTGTTGCGATTCTTCATTGGGAAGAATCGAGATCTTTTGGGAAATGACTGCCAGAGCTGCTCTCCTGGGCACCCCGGGCTTGCAAATAATGCCCCCCCTCCCAAAATCTACACTCAAACCTATAGGCTCTGGTTGCAAGCACTGGTCGGTCCACAGAGGAGGGGGGGAGGGTAGAAAACTCTTGTTTCTACTTTGCTGTTTCTTCCCTCCCCTCCAAGTACGGGTACTATACAGGTGGTCCTCCACTTACAACAATTCACTTAATGACTGCTGAAGGTTACAACAGCAGTGAAAACAGGGACCTATGACCATTTTTCACACTTATGACCGTGGCAGCATCTTCATGGTCACATGATCAAAACTCAGCAGCTTGGCAACTGGTTCATATTTATGACGGGGCTCCCAGTGGGGGGGTTGTCAGATGATCCCCTTTTGCGACCTCCTGAGAAGCAAATTGGGGGGGAGGAAGCCAAGTTCATTTAACAACAGTGTTACTAACTTAACAACTGCAAAGATTTGCTTAACAACTGCTGCAAGAAATGAGGCCAAACTCCCTTAACCAATGAGTTTCGCTTAGCAGCCTACATTTTGGAGCTCAGACGAGGATTACCTGTACAGATATTCACTTCTGGGATGGGGTTCAAGGAAAGGGGCTAGAACTGGCTGGGTTTCCCCCCCCCGGGGTAAAACAAAGGCGTCCGGGTGGGGGGGGGCAGGGACGGAGGGAGACCCTCAAAACCAGGGAGGCGGCGACGGCAAGCGAAGAGTTAAGCCCGACTTTTTTAATTGAATGCCAGCGCCAGTGGCCCCAGGCAGAAGGGACCTGACCCCGCTACAGCATCCAGATGTGTGCGGGTCTCTGGGGACTCTTCTGCAGACCCACGCTTGGATTGTAAAAGTAGACAGGACTGGGGAGGGGGGTTGGGAAGGGAGGGAGGGAAAGCCGAGGAAAAGGGAGTCAGCGGTGGGGGCCTTGTATTCCCTCTCCTCCCCGGCGGAGGTGGGCTGAACGGCTGACAAGCAAGAATCCCAGCCCCGGTCACGTCCAGGTTGTGCTACGTCTGAACTGAGAAAACGGAGGGGGGGGGGAGTGGAGTTGAATAGACGGTGGAGGGCTAATTGGGAAAAGAAGGGGGCCGAGGAAAGAGAGGGGGGTGGGTAGATGGGCGAGGGGAGCCTCCTCCATCCCAAACCTTCTCTGGAGGGAAGCAAACGCCGACCTGAGCCGACACCTCCCCCCCCCGCCCCGTCGGAGCAGCGGATGCCGCCGCGCATCTATTTTGGAGGCGGGGAGCGAAAGGGAACTTGGGGGGGGGAGGCTCTCGGGGTCCCCGCAAGCAGCCCCCGTCTCTCGCTGCCTGGTCGGATTAAAAAATCCTGAACAAGAAAGGAGACGGGGAAAAAAAAAAAAAAAAAGGCTGGACGTGGCAGAAGGTAACGTGTTTTTTTGGGGGGGGGGGAAGTGGTCGGGGTAGAGGTAAAAGAAAGCCTGACATGCTCCCAAAATGTTAAACAAAAAAACCGTGGGGAGGTCTTTTGTATTAGTTTTTATTATTATTATTTTCTAACCCACGTTTTTGGGACGCCCCTCCCGCCCCCTTCAAAGCCGGGGAGCGGCCCGACTCGTTTTAGGTCGCGGAAAGGGTGAAATGAAACAGACGCGTTGACATAAGTTTGGGAGATTCCTTCAGGTTCTCTCCCCCCCCCCGCCGCCGCCCGCGCGCTCTCTCTAAGGCGGAGGAGAGAGGCGATCCTACTAGCCTCACTAATAATGGGAATCATAAGCGCCTCTCTTCGCTTCGCGGAGTGGCTGCTTTTTTGGAGAGGGGGGGGGCGTTGATTCTGCAGACTCGGGTGGTTCTGAGCTGGGGGGGTGCTCGTGCGAACCGCGGAAAAACCCACAGGTCTTTGTCACCGCGGTAGCTTCGGGGGGGGGCTAGGCGTGAATTAAGGGGTGGGGGTGGGTAGGTATGTCGCCTCTTTTATGGCAGGGGACGGTGCCGCCGGCGGCCAAAGCAGACCGCGACCCCAATGCGGGCTGTTCTGCCCTTACTCGTGAGTAAACCATCCAGACAGTGGATGAGCGCTTGGCGGGTGTTAAATCTCGTTTTCCTTCGGCCCTATACGCTATTTTAGCTCTCTCCCAACTAGGTGGGGATGCTGAATTCAAAAAATCTTAGCCCTAAAAAAAGTCAGCGACCTGGTATTGGTTTCGCCTTCACCGCCCTTCCAAATTCCAGGAAAATGGCATTGACAAGAATCACAACAACCAAAGTAGGGTTGTTGTTTTTTTTTTTTTTTAAAAAAAAAAATCTTTATATGACTTATGACTTTGCTTTAAAACGGTCTCAGGTGCCAGAGTCAGGGAACCGGACGGATAAACCCGTGTAAAGACCAGAGTAAGAACCACAGAGCAGAAATCCATTTACTTCCGAGGAAGCAGGCTTCTGGGTGGCCCTGTACAATCCGTTGATTGACTCCCGTAGCATCAGGACCTCCCTGCTCGATCATATAGCGGTTTACACTAAAGTAAGACCTGTTGAAACCAACGAGACTTGCTTGAAGCCATCCCATCTAGAGGTAAAAGCTATAAAAAATCAATTGCAAAAATAAAGGAAATGTTTCAGTCCATCCAACAACTCCAAGGACTAAAAAAAAAAATCCGCCCTAGAATAAATGTGCACTTTTGGAAAGAAAGACGCCTGGGTAGATCTGACTGAATTTAATAAGACTTGCTCCCAGATCTACTGCATATAAAATTGCAGTAAGAGAGGCACGCACATAGGACACGTGACCAAAGCCGGTACCATTAGGACAATCCACAGGGAAGTTTGTAAAATCAAACTTTTTTAAAAACAAAACAAAAGAGGCAATATAGCAAAAGAGGCAGCTGGCATAGTACTTAAAGCACCAGAATAGAAGCCAGGAGACCGTGAATTCTTGTTGTTGTTGTTAATTGCGAAGTCGTGTCCGGACCCATCGCGACCCCATGGACAATGTTCCTCCAGGTCTTCCTGTCCTCTACCATCTTCTGGAGTCCATTTAAGTTCACACCTACTGCTTCAGTGACTCCATCCAGCCATCTCATTCTCTGTCGTCCCCTTCTTCTATCGCTTTCAATCTTTCCCAGCATTAGGCTCTTCTCCAGGAAGTCCTTCCTTCTCATTAGGTGGCCAAAGTATTTGAGTTTCAACTTCAGGATCTGGCCTTCTAAAGAGCAGTCGGGGTTGATCTCTTCTAGGACTGACGGGTTTGATCGCCTTGCAGTCCAAGGACTTGCAGGAGTCTTCTCCAGCACCATAGTTCAAAGGCCTCAATTCTTTGGCGCTCAGCCTTTCTTATGGTCCAACTTTCACAGCCATCCATTGCAACTGGGAAAACCATGGCCTGGACTATACGCACTTTTGTTGGCAGGGTGATGTTTCTGCTTTTTAGAATGCTGTTTAGATTTGCCATAGCTTTCCTCCCCAGGAGCAATGAATTCTAGTTCTGCCGTGAATTCTAGTTCTGCCTGAAGCTGGAAGCCAAATGGTGATCTTGGAGTCTCTCAGCCCTAGGAAGAAGGAAGCAAGGGGCAACCCAAGAAAAAGCAGAGATCATTTTCCAGGCAGTCTCCAAGAGTCAAGAGTGACAGGAAGGAAGGAAGGAAGGAAGGAAGGAAGGAAGGAAGGAAGGAAGGAAGGAAGGAAGGAAGGAAGGAAGGAAGGAAGGAAGGAAGGAAGGAAGTCCTACTTAAATACATTCACGTGTCTCTTAGAGGCAGTCTGTGACTCTAGCACGTATAAATCCCAATGGGGGGGGGTGCGGGAGGAAATCAATCTAACATAGTTAACCCCGATCCTCCTGTTACAACTGCAGGCTACTCTTTGGCCATGGGTTTATTTTAAAGCGGAGTGATTCTAAGAGTTTACACGCCGACCATTCCCATCCGAAAGGCGGCAATCTGGACTGAATTACAGATCTCTTAAGCCTCCCCGTCTTCGAAATTTACTGTAACTCCGGGCAAAAAAAAAAAAAACCGCAGCCAAAAAAAAAAAAAAAGAATGAATAAGCCCTACCACCCCCCACCCCCAAACGTGCGGGAAGCAAAACGGAAATGTAATGGCACCAGCTGGCCTTCTAAGAATCGTGGCCAGGGAGCAGGTCCTAACCAGCGGGTGGGACGCTGTTTCCGACACAAGGCGATTAAAAATGGGCTTGCGGGACGCCAAATGCCAAGAGTCCCCAGTTCTGGGTTGATCGGCTCTCCCCTCCCCTCCCCCTCAGATGTATTATTAGATATATATATTTAAGGCCACCCGAAGGGGAAGGAAAATAGCCCTCCTTCTGCCTTCCCAACCGGTCCGTAAAAGCCGGAACGGTCCGTCTCCTCCAGAGTGAGCGGGTTCTCTTCATTCCTCTCCCGCGGGAGAGGAAAGACTCTCGCCAGGCTCTTGGGCGCAGCCAGCCTTCTCTGGATCGCGAAGGCAGGCGGGCGCAGCGGCCGGGCCGAGTTTTCCTCCCCATCAAGTGACTTCACTTCCCAAAATTAGCAGGGGGTGGGGAAAAAAAAAAACCAGAGTTTTCATCCGGTGACTGTCGCCCTTTCGCTTTGCGCCAAGCGCGAGGGGAGCCGGACGCGCCTTGGAGTAGCGCGCAGCGGAGACCCCGAAAGAGGCTCGGAGAAGGACGGGGACGCGCATTCGGCGGCGGCGGCAGCAGCGGGGAGGGGTGGTGGTGGGGGAGTGGACTTCGGGAGCGCGCCGCGAGCAAGGCCGGGCAAGAGGAGCCGCGGGAGCGAGGATCCGAGTTTGGGACTCTCGGAGGAAAAGGGGCGTCTTTTGGGGGGGGGCCGCGCGGAAACCGGGTCAATGTGGGGACCTGGGGGACCCCCGGCTGGAGATCGAGCTCGATGGACGGGACTATCAAGGTAAGAGGAGGAGGCGGCGGCGGAGGAGGCAAGCCCTGGAGACGGGGGACGGAGGGGAGAAGAGAGAAGCGGGGCGGGAAGGGCGAGGGGGTGACTCTTTCGGCGAGGTGGCTCCTGGCTTCCGTTAACACAAGCCGTGGTGGATCGGATTTTCCTTTTAATCCTCCCCCCCCCCCGCTCCCCACTTCCTTCCAATCCTCTGCCTTCTAAAGTTTCGCTAAAGTTGCGGGAAAACGCGCTTTGCAAAGTTTGCGACCAGAAGGCTGGAAAAGAAGGGAAGCGGGCCGGGCTGTGGGGAGGGAGAGAAAGAGCGCAGTTGTGAGCGCAGCGCAAGATGCGAGCCTCCCTTCGCCTCGCCTCGCCTCGCCTCCGGCCAGCCCCGCCGTGCCCAACCCGGCCTTGCCGTCGGCTCCGCAGTTTGGCCTCGGCCGCCGGTCTGCGCCTCGCCCTGCGCTTTCCATTCCCCGCTCCTCTTCCCCTTCTCCCATCTCTGGAAGGAGCAGATTCCGGACGGTTCCGTCGAGGGGGAAAAGAGAACCGGACGGAGCTGTCAGCGGAGCGGGCAAGGGCTGCTTCTGCCAGCCGAGGGGAGGAGGGGGGTCTAGAGACAGAGCGCCGAAGTCTTGGCGGAGATCGGAGTCCGCTGCGGCGACGGGACTCCGAGGCTGGCCAAGGGGTGGCGGAAAGAGGCGCGTGGAAATTCTTCGGGACGGCGTAGCGGGGTGGGTGGGTGGGTGAATAAAATGAGCCTTCAGGGAGATGTTTATAAGGAGGTTTTCTTCGGAGTGCCGTCAATAAGCGGTTTTGTTCTTCTCTGCCACAAGTATGCCGGTGAGAATGCAGCTTTTGTTTCGGGTTTATTTTATTTTTATTTTAAATGGCAATGCGTATTTCTGGGGCAATTGGCCAGGAAAGGGAGCCAGCGTTGAAGGGAAGTTGTAAAACCAGGTCCAGCAATTGCTTTATTTGTGCCACGAAAGACCCCCCATCAGCCGAAAGGTGTTTATATACGTGTTTTTAATCCTTGGCGGCGCGCTTCCAAGGCTTAGACTGCGATCCTCCGCTACTGGAAATCCTGTAGCGCCACGGATGGTATTTGCACGGCCTGGCTTACTTCTGGTTTGACAAGGAAGCCGGGTTGTCTCAGTGCCCCGCGGGGCTTGGCTTCGCAGGAGGATTGGTGCAACAGTAGGCCGAAACTGTGGCTTTGCTTCTTTGTGCAAAACCTCTCTTGAGAACACAACCGCTGCACTGCTGTTAATGAGTAAAAAGTTGCAAAGGAACTTGGTTCTTTCTTCCTGCCTCGCCCCCTCCCCCCCAAAAAAAAAGTTTTCAGCCACCTTGTCAAAGTGCCTCTGAGGTGATACACTAGGTGTGCTTTAGCCTGGGATGAGAGGAGGAGGAGGAGGAGGAGGAGGAGGAGGAGGAGGAGGAGGAGGAGGAGGAGGAGGAGGAGGAGGAGGAGGAGAAGAAGAAGAGAAGAAGAAGAAGAAGAAGAAGAAGAAGAAGAAGAAGAAGAAGAAGAAGAAGAAGAAGAAGAAGAAGAAGAAGAAGAAGAAGAAGAAGAAGAAGAAGAAGAAGAAGAAGAGGAGAGAGGAAGAGGAGGAGGAGGAGGAGGAGAAGAAAAAGAAGAGGAGGGAAGGAGGAGGAGGAGGATGGGAAGAGAGGGAGGGAGGAAGGGAGAAAGAGCAGGAGGAGGAAGAAGAAGAGGAAGAGGAGGAGGAGGAGGAAGAGAAGAAAGAGGAGAATGGGAGGAGCTAAGCATGGCCATCTTCTTTTCTTTTGCCCGCCACCAGCCCACAACTGATTAGAGGGAGGGGGGCAGTCGGCCAGTGTGCCCTCTGTGAGTAACAAGTGCAACCTTGCAGCCCCAAAGGGAAGGACAGGAAGAGGAAGTGAGTGCTGGGGAACAGCAAAGTTCTGATGATCTGGCAGTCCTGGAGCCGCAGCAAAGACGGGAGCTATTTTCTCTCCTAACCACATCTGGAGATGAGCCCAGTTCCCACTTCAGCCTCCTGGACTCCAGGCCCAGCCATCTGTCTTCCAGCTTGCTTCCCCCCCACCCACCCCCCCACAATGAAGCTGCCCTCCGGATTAAAGATGGCACGGCTGCCTTCTGCTACACCCGGTAGGAAAGATGAGGGGCCATTTTCATTTACCCTGGACATTCCATTCAGAATGGTGAAGGTTGGTTTTTGCTCTGGTGCAGGGTTTCCTAACCTGAGTCATTTCCAAGGTATGGACTTCAACTACCAGAATCCTTATCAATCACCAGGCTGGCAGTGGAATTCTGGGAGTTGAAGTCCACTTACCTAGAAAAGGCCAAGTTTGGGAAACACAGCTCTAGCAGTAGTTTCCAGCTGTTCCAGTCAGCTTTGCCAGTGGCAGGAGGGCTGGGAGCATTGAGAAGGCCTTTCCACCCAACGGAAAACACTCCAATCCAAGGCCAAGCTTGTGGGAGAAGAAGGTGAGAGAGTCAGAAGCTGTACGAAAGGAAATTATAAGTTGAGAAGCAAAAGCAAACACCCAAAAAGATAAGTGGGGAGATGGGTTTGCAAAGTGAGTCTCCTCTCCTTGTATTCAGTTATGGGTAGGTCTTGAAAGAGATAAACAAATGCCTTAAAATCTAAAATAGAATTTGGGCCCATCACCAGGAGATGTGAATTCTAGTCCTGACTTAGGCATGAAAGTCAACTGGGTGACTTTGGGCCCATCACCAGGAGACGTGAATTCTAGTCCCGCCTTAGGCATGAAATTCGACTATGTGACTTTGGGCCAATCACCAGGAGACGTGAATTCTAGTCCCGCCTTAAGCCTATAAGTCGACTAGGTGACTTTGGGCCAATCACTAGGAGACGTGAATTCTAGTCCTGACTTAGGCATGAAAGTCAACTAGGTGACTTTGGGCCAATCACCAGGAGACGTGAATTCTAGTCCCGCCTTAGGCATGAAAGCTGGCTGAGTGACGTTAGGCCAGCTGCTCTGTCACCTCACTTAACCCACCTCACAGGGGTTGTTTTTGTGAAGAAAATGGGAGGAAGGAGTATTAGATATGTTTGCCATCTTGAGTTATTTATCAAAACAAAAGGATGGGTATAAATAAATAAAGACTTTACTAATTTTTCTCTAGGCCTTCTAATGTGTTGAATATTACACTAAATGATGCCCAGAGCCCCATTCCACTTGCCTGCAGCATCCTTAAAATGGCAGCAAATGAGATCCACCCACCCACTAATTTCTAAATACAGGTAGTCCTCAATTTACAACAGTTCATTTAGTTACCGTTCAGAGTTACAACGGCATTGAAAAAAAGTGATTTCTGACCGTTTTTCCCAGTTACGACCTTTACAGCACCCCCCTTGTCACATGATCAAAATTGAGATGCTTATCAACTGACTCATATTTACGACGGTTGCAGCGTCCCGGGGTCCTTTTTGCGACCTTCTGACAAGCAAAGTCAATGGGGGAAGCCAGATTCACTTTACAACCATGGTACTAACTTATCAGCTGCAGTGATTCCTTTAACAACCAAGGCAAGGTCTCAAAATGGGACAAAACTCAGGTCTCACTTAGCAACAGAGAATCTGGGCTCAATTGTGGTCGTCAAGCCGAGAACTATCTGTCATAATCCAGTTGCATTATCCCAAAACACCAAGCAACCCTCGGTGGAGACGAGACACGGCTTTGATCCTTAAGGCTCAAACTTCAAAGCTGGCGGATGCAAAAGTCTCAGGAAATGGGCAAGACAAATATGATTTAAGGTCCCAGTCCCTGGCAGGGGAGGGACACCTGGTAAAAGTCCTAACGGCAACCAGCGTTTTTCTGCAGCTGCAGCCCCTCCTCATTTGCAAATTTGGTTCACCGCAATATAACGGACGGGAGATCATTTTTAAGGACAGGCCTGGGATCGCTGAAAAACATTTTTCTCCCTGACTATTTGTCCAGTTTCAGTTTTGGCTCTGGGTGCTGCAGGAATGCATCTGTGTTGCTGGAGTTTAAAGCACATAAATAACGCATATAACCTCTTCCAAGTGTCTCTCTTTCTCTGTTCATTTAGGATGTTTTATTGCTGTTATTCTAGAATGTGATCCGCTGAGTATCCAACTTCACAAATGTCACTAAAAAAAACGTGGTTCACTCGTTTGTGGCAGAGCATGTTGTGTTACCCAGCCAGCATTGGTGATGGCGTAGTCAGTGCTATGATTTTAGTCACTTATGGTTTATTTAATAGACCATGGCAGACCCAAGCCTACTGTCATGTGTTGTATGGACACAATATTTGGGTTCTAAGTGTAAACCCCAATGAACATTTACATCAATTAACCAATAGAAGAGAATATTTATAGCTCGGGTTGAACTGGACACCATGACACCTCTTTGCCAGTAACACCCAGATAAGCAGAGATTAACACCAAGATTAATACTAGACCAGCAATCAAGCTGTACACAATACCCTAATCAAGGAATTACCATTTCAGACAATTCAGACAAACAATCAAACGATAAACAACAGTTTAATCAAGAAACCACTGAGAACACTAACAGGGCAAGTAACTTGTATATAGAGAACAAACCCCACTCCTATCACTGGTGATGTTGCGTAGTTGGGTAATGAAATGTCTGCAAGAAAACCACCAAGCTCAGAGAAGACCAAGGACCCAACATTAACACAATTTAAGTAAAATAAGTAACAACTCTTGGGGTCTTAAATACTCTTGTATGCATTATAACTCAGTGGCAGAGAACTTTTTTTTTTAAAGACCCCCACTGAATAATTAGCTTCATATTCTCTCTTTCTCTCTGTTTTAGCAGGACTGGCAAATAGTTCTCATTGCCTAGTGTATTCTCTAAAAGGGATTATATAAAATATCTTCATAGAACCAGATCAGAAACATCTGCTCTATCAAGAAGATAAGAATTGTTGCCAAGAGAAGAGAAATGTGTGGTTCACAAGTACAATAATATACCTAGTTATCATCCCAGAAACTTTACTAAGTCCA